AAAGACGCCTGAGATGGCTAGGTCATGTTAAAAGAATGAGTCCCGGCCGCATTCCGAAAGACCTCCTATATGGTGAACTTGCTTCTGGAAAGAGGAAAACAGGTCGCCCACGTCTGCGATTTAAAGATGTATGTCAAAGGGACATGAAAGCAGCCAAAATCCATACAAGTGACTGGGAGTGTAAGGCAAAAGACCGATCTACGTGGCGCACAGTTGTCAAAGAGGGCGTCATGGTAGCCGAGGAACGAAGAATGGAAGAGGCTGCAGACAGAAGAGCTAGGAGAAAGGCCAAAACATTTGGAAGCACGGAACTCGTGTGTAAAAATTGTGGTAAAGACTGTCACTCAAGGATAGGACTGCACAGCCACTCGAGAAAATGCAACCCAAACCAACGGTGATGCACCATCGTCTCACGAGACGGAAGGATGCCGGTTATTATTATCCAGAACCTGCAGTCTTCAACACAGTCTTTACTGAAAATTCCTAGTGTGGATGAACACAGAACAAAAAAGGCTTACGAAGTGCGCTCTTTTGAAGCTATAGCGCCTACTTTCTGGAACAGTTTGCCTCAATCTTTAAGGCGATTCGAATAATAATGATAAAAAATCATTTAAGAAAAATTATAAGACTTTTTTTAAAAAATAGATTTAAGAACACCAGAGCGCAGTGAGCATGCTAAAGTAGCATGAATACCAGCGCTATATAAATATCCAAAATCCAATCAATCAATCTCTCTCTCTCTCTTTTAATGAATGACAATGATTTTCAATAATCAAAACAGTATATTTTAAAAATATTTAAATAAATTGCAATTAGTAATATTTTCCCTTAATTAGCCTTATTGAAACCCGTATTTGAAACAAAATTCGTATCTATTCCCCCCACCCAATTTTTTCCCCTTCAGTTTTGAATAATTGTGCAATAGTAATGATCTTAATAAGGATCGTCCCATTTTTTTAGACCGTTTCTAAAAGAGCATTAAAAACGAAGCTCTCTAGAAACAAAGATACACAAATATTAACGAGAATACTTGTTAAAATAGCATTTACGTTATTAACCAATGAAATAATTTCAAAACAATTGTTTAAGCAGACACTACTATTTTTAAACTGTAATGAGCATTCCAATCTAAAATTAACACCTTGTTGGAAATTTCAGCGTATCTTGTTATTAGCGATATTTACTATTGGTAGGTCACATAATCTAAGTTTTAAAGTAATTTTTTAAAGACATTCTTCTTCCTTTTAAGTGTCAAATACAAGTCTAAGAAGTTTACTACTAAGTCTAATATCCAACGTTTAACTAAAAATAGCCTAGGCCTACTAGCCTACTGAGAGTAGTCTTAGTCTTAGCCTTTACTTTATGAAGTTTGTCACTCAGACTTAATACCACTAACTTAGTTTACTCCAAGTTTACTTAGTGATGTAATAAATTAGTGAAGTATTACTTAGTTATTTAGTAAAGTCGTATAACTTAGTATTTTTGGTCTTAGACTTGAATTAACTTAAGACTTAGGCCTAGGTCTGTACACTGTACACTGTTAAGTGTTGTAGTTGTAGTCTATTACTAGTAGACCCACTGGACTCTTGAATTAATGGAACTTCTTAGATTCTCAGGAGGCCTAAACTTTAAGGTTAAAATTTAAATAATAAAGGAAATTTAAAAGTTGGGTATTATTATTTAAAGTTGACCAATATTTCATGTCATTTAAAATTTAGACTAGACCAGTGGTCGGCAAACTCATTAGTCATTAGTCAAAATAACCAAAAATCAGCGTCAGGACAATTACAAATTTTTTTAGAACCTGTCAAGAGCCATGTTTTTCGAAGTCAGTTTAAACTATCTACTAAACATTAAATACAACCAGTTATAATAATAATAATAATCTTATTTATTATTATCGACAAAATATTCAAAACACGCATTAAACATTAAATTCAACCAGATATTATAATAAAAATCTTATTCTTATTGACAAAAAATACAAAAATCAAAACTCGCATTTAATGTGAACTATGAATTTGAATATCCTTGGAAAGTTTTAAGTCTAGTTTGTATGCTGTTGATTTTAATTTCAAGCAGGATTCCAGATTCTCATCAGTAAGACGATTTATAAATTTACTCTTGATGGGGTTCATGCTTGAAAATGATTTTTCACATGAATACTTAGAGCCAGAGAGCCGCAATCAGGTCGCTAAAGAGCGGTTCGCGGGCATGGGGCGAGCCGTGATTTGCTGACCACTGGATTAGACTAATCTAGTAGTAGTAGGCTATACTTTATTATATAATAAATCACAAAAGAAATGAAAATGAATGCAGAATTTAAATGACAATTGATTTACAAAGAAACGTTTTAAAGTAGGCCTAAAACTACAAAGACTAAATCAATTATTCTTAATTAGTAACTTTTATTAGCATTAGGTCTTCACAGTGGCAAATGATATGGGGGGTAACGGGGCTGCCCACCTCAGGTGACATTTTCTTTTGTCTTATAAGTTTTATGGACATGGAAAAGTGGCTTTTCGCCCAACTAATGTCATCACTAGATTTTTTTGTGGAACGGGGTGGCAAAATTCTCGGCCTGGCACAGGTGACACTAAGCCTACTTGCTCTGCCACTGGGTCTACAACCAGGGCAAACTCTTATTTTAGCATTAGCATTGCTAATTGTTTTGTCATTATTTTATTACGTATCATTTTTGATAATTCTTTATGTGATACTATTACTATTACTTGTCAATGTCAATGGGCCAGTCTATTTAATAGACATACGAAACAAATTTTATCATTTATAAGTTATTAATAATTTCGGCCTGCCTAATTAAATTTTGTTTATGTTCCTTGTTACTGTTACCGCCTATATTATTTAAAAGAATCAGAATCTATTTATGCATGCTACTTAATTTCATTTTTTATCTGCGTCTAACAAATACCTACTTTATTTTTTACTCAACTTTTATAGCATAAGAAGGCTTAGGCCTTCTATAAGCTAAGGTTGTTTTTATTCAATAAGGCAAACTAACTTTCTAAGTCTTTCAAAACAATCAGCTTTAAAAAAATTGTACCAAAACAAAAAAAGTTCCAGCCATCTCAACTTTTGTCATTTAAGCTGTAAGCTACATTTTTTAGCCTTAGCTCTTCTGTTATTGATGTGCTCAGTCCAATTTACTCAAAGTCAAAGAAAACATCAACATCTTAGTGGCAAGTATGCTTAATAAATGACCAATTAATTTATTAACTATTATTTATCAAACTTCACTTTAAAATATTAACGACATATGCTGACATTTTGTTAATTCTTCCGACAAATTTTTTACAGTTGTCTGTGAATTAATAATTAAAAAATTCTAAAATACAATTACTTATAATGATCTTTAAAATACGAAGGAAAATAATAACCTAACTGTTACGCACTGGCTTCTAATATGAGAAAGTAATCTCCTATTTTAATTTTAATTGGCTCGTTGTAAACAGTGCCTACTAAAGGACGATACCATAGAGTCAACAATATTAAAGATACGACACCCAAATTAGTTGCCGGTTACAATTAATTAAGATTTATTTTTATTAAGTATTAATACATTAACAAAAAAAAAGAAATATAATTATAAATCATTAACTTACAGTATGGTAGATCTTGTACCGGTACACAGTTAATACAGTTAGGAAAATGTGCCAATGAATAATGATGAATGTGAAATAAACACATATGAGAATGAGCACACAAATACAGAAAGTAAGAATAATACATGTCTCGTAAAGTTAATAATTTCTATCTGAATCTCCGTCTCTCCGAGCCTGTCAATTCTTTATATAGTTGGGTCAACCGACGCGTAAGCCCTGCCTTCTAGAAGCTACGCAGCATTTCTGGAACAATCACAATCATTCTACAAAATACTATTTAGGACAGATTAATTATTTTTAGTGGCTGTTGGCATCAACACGACAGATCAAAAGACTAAGCCACACCCATCTGTGAACACAGCGTCTCATGCGGGGTCAATCAGAGTGCACGCACGAGAAAAATTATGTAAACAAGCTCTATATAACACTAACCATATATGAAGATCATTGAGCTAATAACCAAATAGAATGAGTTTATGTTATTTACTGTTTTTTAGCCTGTCCCCAGCATTTTTTATCTTAATCAAGTTCAAATTATTCTTTGACATACACACAACTTGAATTAGTGTATTAAAATTAAAAAATCTTGTTAAGACTCACATAGACAATTTGTTACAATTAGAACTGTCACTCACCTACACATAATATATTTTATAACTAGATAAGATTAGACAAATGTTGAAGTTTAGGTTCAAAATATTTTAACATAATGCTGATTGACTTGAAGTTGAGATTAAAATTTAAAAAAGTAAAATCCAGAATTATAATGACAAAAGTATACTAACTTGCTAATAGTAAACTTCATACACTAATGATAGTTTAAATTATTGGTTAATTTTTTCTTTTTCAAAAAATTGATATTTTGACATTTTTAACAGCTTCTTAAAAAATCTCTCTATGGTTAACCAACCCATACAATAATCTTATGGAGCATTTTGATTTTTGCAATACAGTTACAATTGACAGACCCAATGGAAAAAAAATGGGAAAAAAAAATTCCTGCCTTTTAATTATCTCAATTGCCTTTAGGCCATTTATGAATTGTTTTAAAACTAGTCTTCTCTCGTCTGCCATTGTGGGTCCAGTAAAATGGATGTGAAATATTTTATTAACCCAATCTTAATTTCATTTATTTTACCTAATGAACTTAGATTTGAAAAATAAATGTTTTAATGTTCTCCTACAAAATTTCACTTTCACCTTACATTTAGAAATCTAATACTTAACCTCATCAATAAGTCTTATTTAAAACTGTATCGCTATAACAATAATTATAATTGAAATTTAATTATCAATTTCCTTGGATCCAGACATGAGTCTAGCTGAGATTAATGAGAACACAAGAACTGGGCGTGAAAGTGCCTTACTTGGAGACTATGACACTGCCATGGTGTACTACCAAGGTGTCATCCAGCAAATCCAGAGGCTGATAGGCACAATAAAAGATCCTGAAAAGAAGAGAATGTGGAATCAGGTTGAGATTTAATTAACTCATTAAGCAACCTCTCCAAATTTTGTTTTCTGATTATCATTCTTTACTTACTAATTATAACTTTAATGGATTTTGGATAAGTTATTGAATAGAAAAATTAATGTAACATTGATTTTATTGGGGCTCTTATTTCTTTGCAGCAATATCTTTTAAGTTTATTTTTCACAGAAATTAAAAAAAGTCTTATAAACATATTTTAAAAAGGATGCTTCTTTCGGACCCGTACAGAGTTTGGGGTTATTAAAAAATATTTTAAAATTATTGTAGGGTTTGTAAGACAAAAATTGGTATCAAATAAAAGATAATTAAATGGACTATATGTTTGTAAACTTACTTTTTCAGTTTAACTAAAATAAAATACCACAAATGACATACGGATAGAATTAAATAAAAATGGAACCGGAAACGCATCCCCGCTATTCGGACTCGGGTCCCATTAGACTCAAGCTATTCGGATGTCATTTGTGGTAGTTTATGTTAGTTAAACTGAAGAAGTAAGTTTACAAACATATAGTCCAATCAATTATCTTTCATTTTATACCAAATTTAGTCTTAAAACCTAACAATAATATTTTATTTTAAATTTTAATCCCAACCTCTCCCTTCGTGGACCTGGGTCCGAATAGCCACTTCGTTTTAAATATCTGCAAGAAGCAAAATAATTTTTACGATTGATGATTTTGGATATGGTTTTAAATTGGTCTTCTAGTCTATTGGCTATTGGTTTGATAGATTTTAAATGAAGCTTTTATAAACTTAAAAAAAATACCAGTTATTTCCATTTAAATCGCTCTAGAACATACAAGTCACAAACGAGATGAACAACTGGGCACAAAAAAAATTTGTAGAAAGAAATGATTTTAAAATAAAATTTAATACATTTTTATGTATTTAAAAAAAAAAGTATGCACCAATACCTGCTGAGCATGCTATGAATGCTGTACTTTTTAAGCTCTTCAAGACATGACATGTTCTAGTGAAAGTCAGTAAATGTTGTCTTGAAAGCCATCATTAATTTGTTTTGTTTTGTTGTTTTAAGCTGAAGCAGGAGGTCATCAAAGAGTATGAACAAGTTCAAGAAATCAATAAGACATTGCAGTCCTTTAAGACTGAATCTGTTCATAGTCCCAATGGTGCCTATGGTGCATTCAGTGGCTATGACAGAGGATTTAACCAAGATTACCAAGATCCACGTCATGAACAGCCTACTCGAGATCCAGATGTTTGGCCTCCACCTACACCGGTTGAACAGCGGTAAATTTGAAAATTTAAATTCTGATAAATCAAGAGACACCATGTAAGGTGTAGAGTAAAATGCTAAAGTTTTCAACGACGCCCATCTTCAGGGTGATGGAAATAAAAACGTAAAATCATTTTTTATAATAATACTAAGTACAACTCCTAAAAAAAAAATCCTGTGGAAAAAAGGATACCAGACCTCAAGATAAAATTTGCAGGCAAATGGTACACTTTGTGTGACTTGTGTGGGGATCTGTTACTCTGGAATATTTAAAATAATTTTTTTTTATATTTGGAAGAAAAAAAAACTTTTCTGTAATATTTAGAGAACATGACTGTGTTAGAAATGATGAAAGTTTACATTTAATAAATTGACGACAGAATATGAACTGCCTTGAAATATGACTATAATCTTTTCAACTCTTAAGACCGTCTCCAAATATTAGAGGTCAGCAAAGGCCAGCACAGCCGAGAGGTGCTTCCAACGGCAGAGCCGCCCGCCCTGCTGCCCCCAGCCAGAGCAGACAAAATGCTGGTACACCGGGGCCACCTAAAGGTCGTGCTGGGGGAAGTGGCCGTGATGCTAGTGCTAAAGGAAAGAAAGGGGAGCCAGTAAGAAGGATTGATTAGACATTTCACATTAAAAGAAAATTCTTATTAGGATATTTTACCTATTTCCTGCTATTTAAAAAACATGGCCCATTGTTTGTGTTTATTTTTTTATTCTCTTTGCATATTTTACTGAACTAATCTATAATTTTATCTACATATATTCAGACCGATGAAAAGAAGTTTGATGCACAAGGTCATGACAAAGATTTAGTTGAACATCTTGAGCGAGACATATTACAGAGAAACCCAAATGTTCGATGGTAAGGAGAGAACATTGTATCTGTTTCATGTATAGTATTCTACAGATTATTAAGTACAATTACGTTTCTGACGTAGTCTCAACATTATGGAAAAATTGATTACTTTCCTGACATAGTCTTAACAATATGGCAAATTGAAAATTAATATTGTTTTTAAAACAAAAAATTTTTTTAACACTAATTTGTTTAACAATAACACAGTAATAAATGTTTAAATAAATAGCTAAATTTCTATACAGATTATAAAAAACTTTGTTGCCTGCATTAAATTAAGCAGATTTTTATTTTGATGGCATGTGATGTTTGAGCTTGTGGACTTCCCTGTCATCTTCACGTTAATACTTGCATGTGATGTACTGACATGTTTGTAACATGAAAGTATGGGTTACATTTAATTGCTTTTATTTTCAGGGATGACATAGCAAGTTTGACAGAGGCCAAAAAGCTTTTGGAAGAAGCGGTTGTTTTACCACTGATTGTTCCAGATTTTTTTAAAGGCATCAGACGACCATGGAAGGTGAGCTGTTACATTGACCTAATTGTTATATTTCTTGTTATTTATTTATTATTTCTTGTTTTGTATTGTCTGCTGAAGAGGGCGTTTAGTCAAAGTGTCTTATAAATTTAAGCCTAAACATATCTTGTTCCACAATTTATTTACTGTTACATTTCTCAGCTCTTTCATATTTTTTTGTGTGTGTTGGTCTTCAAAAGTGCTAATTTCTACTTCATTTTTAAAAAAAATAAATCGCAAAATGTCTTAATCATAATCATTGCAAAACAGTGTGATTAAATCTTGAATTTTATATATGAGTGACCCAGATCTTAAATGATATTGTAGGTTTGTTAAACAAATAGCAATGACCACTATAATATAATGATGACAATTATTTCAATTCAATAGTTCCATTATCTTTTAAGTTTCTCTCATTGCTTGCTTTTTATTCCTAGAGGATTTCTTATTGTATTTGGCTTGTCTGTCTAAAAAATGATGGTTTTACGTAAAACATGATAGCTTAATACAAATGTAAATGCTATTATGGCCATAATATTGTGTTTATGTTTAAGATCAAAATGCTTGGCTTAGTTCTGTCACTTCAGACATGGTTTATCGCAGCTACTGTAAATTCAGCTTCAAGTGGAACTTATATAATTTTGTCATGTGATTTGTCAGGGTGTGCTCATGGTGGGTCCACCTGGGACAGGAAAGACCTTGCTTGCTAAGGCTGTGGCCACTGAGTGTGGAACAACATTTTTTAATGTTTCAACTTCCAGTCTCACATCCAAGTGGCATGGGGAGTCAGAAAAGCTCGTTAGACTTTTATTTGAGATGGTAAGTATTAATTGTGGGGAATATCTTATCATTATATGTTAGTCGTGGGCAGTTACTTATCAGTTAAAATTATCATAAATTAACACAATGTTTATATGTGGGAACCATTCACTTTTTGTTTGAAAAAATCTCTAAAATGCCATGTCCTGGTATAATGCCTTCTCTTTATATTGTTCCATAACATGTTTTTTTCTTCTCCAGAACCATGAAACTTTAGGTTGTAAAACAGTTAACTCATTAACTCTGTCAACATGGACAATATATATTTAAGTGGATTTAAATTCAATGCAGGAATCTGTATAGTATTACTGAAGCAAGCATAATTAACACATAAATTATCATTAATTGCTCTCAAGTTCAACATCTGAGTCATTTTTTTATTTTTACAAAATTGCCATTCATTGGTGTAAAAACTAAAAAATGTATGAAAATCTGGCTTAGAAGAAATTTTCATTAAAAGTTGTGACTTATCCATAAAAAAAGAATTTTTGAATGCAACAAAAGGGAGAGCACAGATAATTTTTCATTTTTGCTTTGTTAGAATATAAAGTGTTAATGAAAAGAATGCTTACATGCGCATATAATGTAAATTACTAATTTAAAATGTCATTTTTTTGCCATAAATTTTTTGCATTATATTATGCAGTAACATCTGGTAGTTGTGGAGAATCTCAGGTCATCAAATGTTAGTTTTTATTGAAAACCAATGGTTATCAGTAAAGCCAACATTTAAGATTGTTTGGATTTATTAAATGTTACATTTTTAATACAGAATGTGATACAATTAATTATACCTTTTATAGCTTCAAATCTTTCATATACTTCTAAGGCAAGATTTTATGCCCCAAGTACAGTATTTATTGATGAGATTGATTCAATTTGTTCCAAACGTGGTTCTGGGTCTGAACATGAAGCAAGTAGAAGGGTCAAGTCAGAAATTCTTGTACAGATGGATGGTAAGCTGTTGAGTTAATTGACAGAATAAGATTATTTACAACAAAAGAAATGTAAAAATGTATTACAAGCCATACATAATCCTCCAAAATCCACACTTGCAAGATCACCGAGTGTGTTATTACTATTTTAGTGCTTAGAAACAAAACTGATATCTATTTGACATGTAATTTAAAATGATATTTAAATTTCTCTAGCTTTTTCTGTTGAAACAAAAAAAATTGTGTTTGGGGAGAACATTAAAGAAACTAGCAATAGATGATGTACCACCATTATCTAATTTTATAATATGTCTGGGGGCATATTCAGTACTTTCATATTCAAACTTACCTGTCCCAGGCTTTCCTAGAGTTGGATTTAAAAAAATATTTTATTAATTCAAAAGGAAAATTGTAACAATTTACTTGCTGTAATGGAATGTTCACACGGTTTCTTACATTTCTAAAACCAATTGGTTGACATCAGATCTATAATGTGAAAACCATATTGCCTGTTATGAAATAGTTGTGCAGTTTAGTCGGTTCGTCTATTTACACTTCACAAAAACTCAGGTGTCAGCAGTGTAAGTGAAAGTGATGATGCCGCCAAGGCTGTGATGGTTCTGGCAGCCACAAACTTCCCATGGGATTTGGATGAAGCTTTGAGGAGGAGGCTGGAGAAGAGAATCTACATTCCTCTGCCAGATGGTGAGTCTCGAACAATATTAGTCTAAGATCCTATTATAATCAACTGTTCAGAGGTGCTTAGTTTGGGCTGTAATTTTATTTGTTTTTGCCCACTTTCATTTATTGATTAATATTTCTCATTATGTCGGACTAAGATGAGCAAATTTCTCTGATAAACATGAAAATTCAAAGGAATATTTTTTTGTGTATGTTTTATTTAAAGAAATATTTAATATATATAATATATGTTATATGAGAAAAATATCCTAGTGATGTACTAATTAATGATACATTTTACACCTAGCTGAGGGTAGAAAACTGCTGTTGGACATAAACTTGAAAGAAGTAGAAAAAGGAGAAGATCTGGATTTGGGCAAAATTGCTGACATGTTGGATGGGTATTCTGGTGCTGACATCACCTGTGTCTGCAGGTCAGTATATTTAAGTGTTATATTTATTTTAACTTGTGTAAAAACTTTCTATTTAAGAATGCATTTATATTTTTAAAATTCATATTTTGAACGGTTTTTGCTTTATGTTGCCAGAGATGCAGCCATGATGTCATTCCGACGGAGAATAGCAGGCCTGCGCCCTGAGGATATTCGTAATATTCCTAAAAATGAGTTGACATTGCCCACCACCATGGACGACTTCACTGAAGCCATCAAGAAGGTAAACAAGAGCGTCTCCCAGGAAGACCTTGAGAAGTACAAGAAATGGATGGAAGAATTTGGCTCAGTGTGAGGCGGAGGGTTAATGCTTTATCTAGACAATGTGTAGTCCCAGAGGAGGAATGTCTGTAGTACAAAATTTTGAGAATCATGGCCTTTCCTTCCTCGCAGTGTGTCATTATATTGCTTCCACTGTGGAATGGTTTATAAATTTTTATTACAACGTTATCTGTTGATTTAGAGGTTGAAGTCAGCATATCCCTCACTCTCCCAACCCCCCTAATCTGACCTCCAGATACCACAGTGTATTTTTAAAAAAATGGGAACAAATTGTGTCCTGGTGTCTATGCATTAAATGCTGTCAATCCACTTGATGGATGTCCTACGTAAATGCAGTGGTTTTTTTGTTTACATAGCTTTTAGACAGCTGCAGTAAGAGTGACAATAGTGTTTTCATATTTTGTGATTTTAGGCATATTTAAATCGTAAAGATTTATTCACGTCCACTAAGCCCAGAAGTAGATCAATATTTTAGGGTGCAACTCATATATTACCAATAAAACTATATGATTGAGGAAATCTTCTGGGTATCTTTATTTGAACTCAAGTCTTCTACTACTGCAGCTTTGTTTAAACTCCTTTATCTTTGAACACAATTATTCAGCCATTAGGTTGTAAATATAGATATAATGCTGCACAATAAAATTGTTACCATAATAGTGCAGCAAAGCACTAGCTTATTGAAACTATTTTCATCTTACCATGTACTTTTCTATGGTTTGGACCACTGATGTTACTTGCATAAATAGTTTAACATTGCTGCAAAATAAAATTTTTACCCTAATGCAGCAAAGTACTAGCTTTTTGAAACTATTTTCATCTTACCATGTACTTTTCTATGGATGTGACCACTGATGTTACTTGCATAAGTAGTTTAACATTATTATGACTAATCACGAGATGCACCTAAAACTGTTTATTCATGGTGCAGCATGCTCCTGACTTTTGCATACGTTTTAATGATAAAGTTCATTTTAAAATGAAAATCTGTATTAAAAAAAACAAACAGGGTAGTACATGGTGACCATACATTTTAATCAAGTGGTTATAGAAAACTGAATAGCCTCCCCCAGGACCCAAGCCATGGATTTGAGACCCTTGTTTTATTAAATTGTAGAGTTTCATTGAATATGAGTATGTGATGCCCAGTCTCAATTTATTAACAATATGATTAGGAAAACATAAAAGCTAAGGGATAAAAATATACCAGCTCAGTGGGCTACAAAAACCCCTTGTTATTATTAAATTGGAAGTGCAATCTGCCAAAGAAATGAGAGTTAAGGAAACAATTTCTGTGCTAAATTTTTTTTTTAAAGTTCAGATAAACATTGTATACAGGTTAAAAAATAAAAGCAAATGTTGATTTATCACAACTACCCAACTTTGTTTGCGAGGGGACTTTGCAACTATTTAACCTTCATTCACAATCGTTTAGTTCAAACTTCAAGGATGGATTATTTGATCAGTGCCTAGGAGGATAGGAACACTTGTTATTGCATTGATTAGGGACTTGCACACTCCTTCTAAAACAGGATGCAGTTTTCCCTAGGCTGGCCAAAGAAGACTTTATGTACATGACAACACAATGGAACTGTTGGGAGACTAAGGCTGGGGTTCTTTTGTTTTTTCTTTCTTTCTGAGAATATGCTACGTCCTTCCTTCCGTTAGGAAGCACAGATTATTCCATTCATTGGTTCTGAGGTTTCCATAGTGAAACTCAAGACAATATCAATCTGGGGTGAGTGCGGAAAAGGGGGGGGGGGGGCGGCCCTCAATTGTGTTAAGCTGCTTTAAATTTTGTTTTTTCTTTCTTTCGGAGAATATGCTACGTCCTTCCTTCCGTTAGGAAGAACAGATTATTCCATTCATTGGTTCTGAGGTTTCCATAGTGAATCTCAAGACAATATCAATCTGGGGTGAGTGCGGAAAAGGGGGGGGGGGGGCGGCCCTCAATTGTGTTAAGCTGCTTTAAAGCTGATGTCAAGGTCTAAATTATAAAAGCTGTTGATCCCCAGTTTAAAATTAAATGGCTCATATTATTTTTTGAGGTTTCAATGAGTGACAAGATGTTTGTATATAGATGTACATATAAATGTCTATGAAGGTGAGGCACTTGCAAGGATTGCCTGTTTGGCTTATGCAGAGAGTTTCAATGCATAGTGGGCATGACAAGATGAGAATTTAAAAAAATCCAGAATGTTGACATATTTATTGGTTAAGTTATTGTTGCTAAAAGGTAAATCTGGCCACTCTTATTTGAAACCATCCAGCGAATTATCTTATTTGTAAATATTTAGATTACGGAACGGTTGTGGCTTATGAATTTGTTAATATTGGTGACCAATGTTGAAAATCAAGAATTGTATAAATGAAGCCTTGGCACAGTGTGTTGTGTTTAGCTTTGCTGTGTTCATTATGCTTGTATGTGCTACTTTTATTTTGGTTTTCCTTCATATGCCGAAAGTGAATTTTATTAATTTTTCTAAAATCTGCTAGTCAATGATTTGTTGTACATGGCAGAACTATCTCTAAATGTGGGAGCAGTTTTCACTCCAAAGCCAAACTACTTTTAACACTAGATTGTTAAAATTCAATGTTAAACTTGATAGGTTTAAATTAAAACCTTCAGTAGTAGTCTTGATAAATAAGATTTTGAACTCTGTACTTGTATATGCTCATCGTCTGGTTATTTTTTGCTACAGAGTTATTTTCTCTTTGATAGACCATGTCTTTGCATGTTTCATAATGCATTTGGGAAATGGGTGGCCTGAAGATGCCCTGGGAAATGGGTGGCCTAAAGATGCCCTGGGAAATGGGTGGCCTGAAGATGCCCTGGAAAATGGGTGGTCTGAAGATGCATTGGGAAATGGGTGGTCTGCCGATGCCCTGGGAAATGGGTGGTCTGCCGATGCCCTTGGAAATGGGTGGTCTGAAGATGCCCTGTTGGTAAAGTTTGTGTAGCTGTGGACTGACTTTATGTGTAGTCTAGCACATTTTGATATCCATTAACAACCCTAAAATAATTCAAGGGAGGCTCAATTAAAAACATTCCCTAAATTATAACAAAAGGTCATATTGTAAATTGGTAGATATTTCATACCCAAGTCTGATCATTCTGACAGCGGCTTAACTGTATCATAATTGTAACAGAGTTCTCATTGTATCACCATTGGAAGAGAGGTCTCATTCTATCACCATTCTATCAGAGGTCTAATTGTATAGTATAAGATAAATGGTTAAGTTTAGAGTGGAGTTTTGTGTTTTTAAAGAACTTGTGCATTTAAAAGAAAAAAAATCTTAGCCTCTGGACAACAGTAGCCATGACTTTCTTATTCCTAGTTCAACAAATATGTACTCTGATCACATTATTTCTTTAAATCATAACTGGCGGTGATAGAAACAGTTTCCCCATCAATCAATCATTTCTGTGTCTATTTTCAAATTAAAAAAAAAAAAAAAAAAAAAAGATGACCGATTATTTCCCTTGAATTAAGGGTGTTACTTCCCTTGGATACTCTTGGACTAGTACCCCTATCTCAACAAATGAACTTTTAATGAAAGCTCAGCCATGTCTTAAGATTTCATAAAGAAAAAGTTTGAAGTTTTTTTAATGAGTTGCACTTTTTATTTCTTAAACGAGAACAAAAGTCTAAAAGATATAGTTGTGCATGTTGCACATAATATTCCACATTGCACATAATATTCCACATCAGTAAAATTTAAAAATTGAGTTCTAAGGAGATATGATAAAACACATCTGATTATGAGTGGATAGCTGACCTCCCGAAAGGGATAAATAAATACACATTTTTTTTACTCATTTACACACATAAGGTGTCAAATGAAATGAGTGTTTTTCTCATTTGAAGTGTGATTTTTAAAAAAAAATTTGTTTGAAAGGATCAAATGCATGAATCTCTGACCTGTACAAGGACTGGCCAAAGCCTGTACAAGGACTGGCCAAAGCCTGTACAAGGACTGGCCAAAGCCTGTACAAGGACTGGCCAAAGATTCTGGATTTGAATTTTGTTGAGCAGAATTATTTAATGATGCATCAAGCTAGCGCTAACTATTTACAATGAAGTGAATTGAGCTACAAAATTTAAAGAATTTTAACACACAAGATATCTTAAATGTCTGTGGAAATGTTAGAAATAATCCTCAACCCTTATTTAAAGTTATTTGCTTAAACTCGGAGCAGAGCGTCTGAAGAGAATTAGTTCAAATATCCATAATCATATGATCTATTTACCTCAATAGGGCAATATGTAAATGGACTTTGACTTTTTTCAAACCGAATGTCTGGTGACCAATTTTAATCTAATTAATATTAATTTATTTGACATTTTATCCATTATCCATAGGCCTTGAGGTCGCATACAAGATTTATCCCGGGATAACCATAATAAATTTATCGTGTCCGACTTTTCTTTTTGATTGCACTGTTGTTTTTTTTTCTACATCCAGGCTACATCTGACTGACATTAAAGCATTCATGACATGCACTGTAAATATGATGTTCACACATTTACAATAAACAATCAAAGTAATTTCTACTGAACGTTTTCCTTCTCTAACGTATGACTTCTTACGTGTTTTGTTTTGTCTTCCTCACGTTCATTCTTTTTGTTATTTGAAGAAAAATAACAATCTCTGTATGTAAAAGATTTTTAAAAAAAATCTACTGCTCACGGATAGATTCGATAGATGTGTTGAATTTTATTGATTTGTCATGTTGTATTGTACCAAATAATCACATCAACCGTTTGTAGTGTGTGTAGGTGATAAATATATTCAGTGCAAGATTTAAAAAAAAAAAAAAAAGATTGTCCATTTATGAATATCACCATGCTTCCCATGAGGAACATGATTGCACGGCAATGAGTGTGTGTGTGTGGGGGGGCCGTGTTATTCTAACAAGCTTATTACGCCAAGTCCACGGCTATCTTTGTGATCTCTCGTCAGTGCCTTCATATGAGCGCTGTGAGAAAATTGGATTCCTAAGAGTTCTAGAGGCTGGGGGGGGGGGGGGG